GCATCGTGTGACTATCGACAAAACATTTGAGGGCAATTTGACAACCCCATCATGAAGGCCCCGGGTTTGATCCCAGGTCAGGTCGTGTGGGATTTGTGATGGACAAAATGACACTGGGGCAGGTTTTCTCTGCATTCAATCATCATCTGTCATTTGGAACTGGCTCAGTGGGCCAAATAGTGGTTGACACACCAAGTGGACTTACTGTTACACCACCCAAAGAAATGGCATATAAAGTGATGTAGAGGACTGATTGTGGATGATACCAATGTGCATCGTGTGACTATCGACAAAACATTTGAGGGCAATTTGACAACAAAGCTAATCAATGGCACTATCTTTATCTTCAATCCTTGTACTGGTCAGCTGTTCTCAAAGATAATCACCATGTTTGTTCATCAATTTCTGCTATTTGTTGGTGCTGAGCTGATGGAGCAGTAATCTCCAAACCCAAAATGATGTCACGAATTTCTGACTGAGTCAGTGACGCCGAATCGACACTGAAAATTGAAACGTACACCAGTCACACTCAATTTGTGCACAAACTATACATTTTTTCCTAAGCATTTAACAAAGTAATCATAAACACAATTTATGTACTGAAAACCATGTACATGGTTCCTTTGGTGAGCAGCAGATTTCACCAACACTAAACAAAAGAATATCTTCAGTAAATTCAACACAGACACCATTAATTTGTGATCACTGAAATTCAGTATTAACTGAGAGAGAAAAGCTTAAATTTGGAAAATGCCCACAGAAATATATAGGACAAACGGGGCGAATATTTAAAATCAGATTTAAAGAACATAGACAAAGAACAGTGGCAAAATTCCAAATTTGACCAACACATAGTGGACACTATACACGAATATCGAACAATAGATGAAACTATGGAAATCTCCATCGGAAAGGAAGGATGAATGGTGGATACTCATGAAAGATTTCATACATATGAAATCAGTAAGCAAAACACCCAGTTGAATGACAATTTTACCAAAATATTTAGCCCAATATGTGACACAATAATGGCAGCCTACCAAGTATAAGCTAAGGTGCACATTGAGCTGCGTATCGCAGTAGGGGCAGGGCAGGGCAGCACGGAAAAAAGAACTGTGTGGCACAGTTGTCGACGTATATTGGAAAGCGGTTTTATTCAGCAGTTTGACGAAGGCAGGGGTAGTTTGTGCGTGAAACCAAATCGAAAATCAAAACATGTTTGCGGAATACCTTGATTTGAGCTCTGAGACAGATTTGGACAGCGAGTTAGAAACATTACTATTACTCTATCGGAAGTCGAGGAAGGTAAAGCTGTGGAAAAGTGAGTACATGAAAAAAAAGAGGGACTCACGGGGAATTTGCACTGACAAGAGAATTCTCCAATGAACGATTTGTGAACTATTTCCTTATGAATCGAGAGGAGTTTGAAGAAGTTCATAGCATGATTCAACCTATTATATACTCTGAGGGATGCAATGCTCAAATTCCAATTTGAACTGAATAAAAACTGGCACTATTTTTAGGTAAGTTTTTTATTTTATATTTTTTAAGGACTGACAATATACATTACAATATAATAAGAAACTGATAATATACATGGCAAAAACGCATTTAAGTTTTTATTCTGAGAAATGGTTAATGAAAGAGACTACGTTGGAAGATTCTAAGTTTTCACGAGCAGCCACCGTCTCTCAACAGAAGTAGGAAGGACGAGGTTCTTTGGTTGTGGCGTTGGTGATACAGGAGATTCAGCAGACTCGTTGTTTGCAGATGAATTACGTGATTCATCCTCTTTAACATCGGCAGTGTTTGGTAAGTCCAAACCTTCATCATTTATCTCGTAAATAGGGTCACCTTCACAGTGTTGGGCTTCTTCATTAGGAGGTTCTGAACTGTCATCATCATCATCGGCGAAATTTGTATCACGGTTTTCATTGACCATGTAACGTAATAAAAATTCCATTTGAGCTTGGAACTTCCACGGTTTGATATCTGCAGCAGCAACTCCACTTCTCATACGTCGCTGTCACCATAGAGCATCTCTGTGATTATTTCTTAATTTCTCCCAAGTACATTTAGCCTCGTCATCTGAAAAAGAGAGAATATATTTCATAATTAATTAATTTGTATGAATTGAACATTAATGAGTGCGTATTTTTTTGTTTCAGGTATTTGGCATCTGGGGATAGCTACAAAAGCATTGGCTACAGTTACAGGATGGGAGATCGAACTGTAGCTAAAATTGTGAACAAAGTCTCAATTGCCATTTGGAGAAATATGCAACAGTTGTATTTACCACAACCTACAAGAGAAATGTGGATCTCGATTGCCTCAGATTTTGAAACACGATGGCATTTTCCATACTGCTTTGGAGCCATCGATGGAAAGCATGTTGTTATCAAAAAGCCTAATAAATCTGGATCCTTATTCTTTAATTATAAACATGATTTCTCCATCGTTTTAATGGCAGCTGTCGAAGCACACTACAAATTCACTTTCATTGACATATGAGCCATGGGACGATTCAGTGACAGAAGTATTTTTTCAAGTAGTCAGTTGGGCAGAAAACTGGATAAGGGAACTCTACAACTTCCTCCACCTGCTGATCTGGCCTCCTTCGAACATGCATTGCCATATGTATTTGTAGGGGATCAGGCATTCCCATTGATGCCAAACTTAATGAGGCCCTACCCAAGGAGAAGAGTTATGGGAAGCTATGAAAATAAGGTGTTCAATTATAGGCTTTCACAAGCAAGGCAAACTGTTGAATGTGCATTTGGAATCCTAGCTTCGCGATTCTGAGTATTCCAAACACCATTTGAAATTAAAGTTACTAGCGTTGTCGACGTTGTAAAACAGCTTGTGTTTTGCACAACTATTTACAATGAAATGCGGTCATAAGTTGTGATAATGAACAAAACAGCTTGGATGAGAATTTACCAACAACACAGCTACTTCCGATTTCAGGTAATCGTTTAAGGAGTGTCCAAGCTGCTTTTTCTGTTAGGCAGAAATTCACTGAATACTTGTGCCAAAGTGCCCCGTTTGTGCCTGTGATGAGTATGGTCGTCGTGGCCAAAGTACCCCGTTTTGGCCAGTCGGGAATTTAAACTCCGCTAGTAGAAGCGCATGCACACTCCTAAATATTTATTTTTGAATGTAGTAATTACCAGACTGACTTGAGTAAAACCCTAATAGAGGAACAAAAATGATACCCAAGTGAACAACAACAAAAAGAGTATACATATGAGTTATGCCTAAACTCATCCATGAGCCGGTACTTTTATTGCAGATTCTGCGTATTAATGTGTTAAAAATATATAGTAAAATTCGATGTACATACCCTTTTTTTGTTGCTATCTGCTTGATGTATATATAGGCTGAAATGAAACTACAGTATTCGATTTCACTAAGAACGCACAGAAAACAGATCCCACTCTGAATCTCAGCCATGATGCAGCTGTCTGTTCAGGCCCATAGAAAGGGCAATAAGCTTTTGCAGCTATAACGGAAGGTCTTAGCACTGAAGAAGGGACCGCTCTAGCTATTTCTTGAATAGCCATGCTTTCATTCTTCTCTCATTTAGTCAAAAGATTCGAAAATCTGAAGAGGGTAACAAAGATGTAAGGTTTTCCAGCAGAGAACCAAATGATTTTATTGCTTCCATCTGTTTTATGGCACCAGGGACTGCTAAAATTGGTAAAGTGTTACAAACAGAAACGAATTTATAATGCAGAATAACTCTGTGAAGAACTTGGAAACCAATTTTGCAGTACGCATCAAAATTAAAAGAAAAGAAAATTGAAATTAGCGTATAACTTTTTGTATAAAATTTTTCAAATCTTCCGTTGTAATATACGACACTGTGTTCTTTGCTGACACAAAGTTAATTCCATCCATTTATCACAAGAATTGAGTTAGATACAGCATTTTTAAACACAAAGCTTAGAATTATTTAAGCACCCTAACAGGAATGGACATTTAAACACGGAGTAGCAACGTGCATTTAAACGTGCACCAGCAGCGGGCATTTAAATAACCTCCAGCTAGCTCAAGCTTACCACCATTTCAAAAGCCCAGCATTTAAAGGTTAATTCAGTCGGGAGTGTGCCATGGCAAGAAGAGAGTGTTTCTCGGGGACACTATTGAATACTGATTGATTTATAGTAAAAAAAAGTGAAAAATGCTATATAATAGGTACCTCTTGTAATGAATCACATTTAAATGTTAATTTATATATAATGTTTAATATTAATTAGAATAATAATTAAATTACATCCATAATAAATAGTATTATGTTAAGGTGTTCATTATTCATTGTTGAACGGTATTCATTATTCCATACAAATATTACTCATCTTATAGGTAGTCGTGTTATAAAAATATTTTGGACGTACTTACCCTTTGAGTTGAGCTCCATTGCGAACGTTCTCCAAATTTATTGCTTAAATTTACTCTTCATATATTGCGAATGGCTGGTGTCGTATAACACTGGGTGGTTACGCACAAATTCTATCAATTTCTCCTCAAAAGATAACATAACACTTAAACAAAACTTAAAACAAAAAAAAAAAAAACACGCAATGAATTGCAAAAACCGCAAAGCGCTGAGTGGAGAACAAGCGTCTGTGTCACAGGTTTTCTGTGTCAGATCCACAAGTGGGGCAGGCCCGTCTGTGCGCAGTTCTGCCCTGCCCTGCCCTGTGCCTCAATTCGTGAGTTCCCCTTCCAAAGATAGAGTCACAGAAACTGAGCTGCCTTGCCTACGTCACTTGCACGTCAATGTGTGCCAGGCCTAAACAACTACTTTACCTCCATCCTACATCCACCACACCCCTACCTCCCCCCTCACCTTGGATACTAGGGCGGTTTGACAGAACACTGATAAAGGCAACAACCCAAAAGGTTACTTACCAAGCCATTATGAGAAAGTGCGGATGTTACTTTCAGACAATTTCCACAGATTCTTCATGGTTCCAACACAGGGTTCATGGAAATACAATTTCTTGGGTGTGTATTATTAGTCTTTAACTCTAAAGCTCCACCATAGTACAGTGGATTATACAAGAGACCTTCAAACAACAGCAGGTATATGTAAGTTTTGAGGTTTTCACGGCGATGACTATGAAGAAAGTCGTCTTCTGGGATCTGGTGGCATGTATTCTTTATTTTAGCCGACGTTTCGGAGGAACGTATCGCCTCCATCTTCAGGGCTGGTGAATTGGCTTGCGAATGCAGAGAGCAGTAGCTACTCTCTGCATTCGCAAGCCAATTCACCAGCCCTGAAGATGGAGGTGATACGTTCCTCAGAAACGTCGGCTAAAATGAAGAATACACAGTGCCAGATCCCAGAACACAACTTTCTTCAACAGCAGGTATAGATCGTATGAAAGCCTGTTCTGTCCTCTTGGGATAGATATATTGCAATATAGTCTGGCAGAGGTCTACTGATGTTCCACTGAAACATCAATGGACTTCTACCAGATGACCCAGAAGAGAGTATGCTTCATAGTCACTATTGTGAGAACCTGAAATTCAAAATCTAAAATAATAGTTTTTAAAACCACGTGTCACACCACCACCAGAAAGTTTTAATCTTAGAATTTTTTTTTTTTTCCAGTTGTCGGACATGATCCCGACTTAAAGTATGAGTTGGAGTGTTTCAGTCCAAAGGATTTTTACCACGAGGTTCATCTCCGAGCCCATTTCATTTTCATCTCGTCCTTGAAGGATGAAGATGGAGTTGGGGCAGACAGAGAAGAAATGTAAACATAAATTGTAAGGTGTACATATGTATGCGTGAAAAATGTATGTAAAGAAATATGTTAATTAACATTGAACTTTTTTAAACTGAAAACACAAAGTAGTGTAACATAAAATTCTAGAAGTTACATATGACTCTGAATTACTGCACTAACACATGAATGAAGAATGTTCATTTCCCACAAATATCCAGTAATAATTAATTAAAACTTGTGTGATGATAAAGTGACTGTGACTGTATTACAAACATTTTATTATATCAGAGAGAAGATCTTCATTGGATAATCAGTGGGAATTGAACATTTTCTTTCATTTGTTAGTGCAGTAATAAGGAGTCACATGTAACTTCTAGAATTGTATGTTACACTACTTTGCGTACATGTACAGTGTTTAAATCTAGGATCAGTAACGAATTAAGCTGTATATGGTTCCTTGTCTTTCTTTCCATTTCAGTGGCAGTCCCTTTATATGAATGTGATGAGAGTGCCCAGTGGGTGACCATTCCATATCATTATATTCATGATCATGTTCATCTTATGTGATAACAGATATCCTCTGCAGTTTTTATACAGTTATTAAGCAACCTATGAACCTTGCAAACACCTTACACATATTTGGAATTCTTGGGAAGGATTGACTTCAGTTTAAAAGCAAATCAGAAAATGAAGAATTCTGTCCTGCTGTCATGCGAAAGTTAACCAGTGTTTTCAGAAGAATGTACTGCCTCCATCTTCAGGGTTGAACAATGAACTGAGCAAGAAACCAGTACGGAGCAGGCAGGAAGCAGAGGTCTACTTGCCACCTGCTTTCTTGCTCAATTTATTATTTGACCCTGAAGATGGAGGCAATATGTTCCTACAAAAAATGGTTGACTAATAACAGACTACATGATGTTACGAGTATATGCTAGATGATAGTACCCTTCAAGGTGAATCTAGTTTCTCTAGTGATGTGTTTTTCAGATGTCTTTGGTAACAGAATGTTCTGCTGGAGGGTGTGAGTAGAGTCTGAATTCTCTTAGGGTGCCATCTGTCCTCTGTACGGAAAGGAAGCTGCGGCACAATGACTCCACACATCTTCAACAGCTCGATACTGTGTATGGGATTTGAGGTTATGGCAGTGAATATTAAGTTGCTGGGATGTGATGGTACATTGTCTGGTCCATGGGACTAAGATGGAGATAGCGGTTTCCCCCCCCCAAAAAAAAAAAATTGGCACCTGTCTACCAGATTACATGGCATCACATCCCAGAAGGCTATGTTCTTTAATTAATTAAATTTTCAATTCAGTTGACTGATTTTTATGGTTTTAATGACCATGATGGTCTTATTTGTGGGAGCAGCACAGATGTTTGCTTTGTGGTGGGTGGTGTCAACTCAGTGGGGAGGTAAGAAAAGTGTGTAGAATACTGGTGTGAGGATACTCTTGAAAAATGGTTACAAGTAATACCAAGGAAGAGATTTGATAATAATAAGATAAACTTTTGAGAATGAGATCTTGATTGTACTGAGTGGAGGTGTGCCCAAAAGCAGGTTTTGGCTTTATCAGTGTTAAATCTTTAGTTCTGCTGCTGGTGGATATTGTTGGTTGGTTAAAATTCTGTTCATGAACATGTGAAAAACTGATTTCATTAATATTGTATAATATAAATTCACAATTACTGGTTTGTAAC